ACAAAGCTGTACAAGAACTTGCAGAATATGATGGATATATTACCACAGGCTCAGAAAATCCTTTGGAGCCAGGCTGGTCCTATGATTGGAAAGTCTTCTGCCAATCCAAGAGATCCTGGGGAAGTCTGGGAACAGGCCAAACAGAACATTCTGGAAGAAGAAGCCGGTTGGGTTGCACAACATCGCCACATCCGTGAGGTCTGCTACCAAGAAGCTGAAGGGCCTCGAGACATTTGCAGCCGTCTCTACCATCTGTACCGTCAGTGGCTCAAGCCAGAAATACACACCAAAGCCCAGATGCTGGACTTGGTGATCCTGGAGCAGTTCCTGACTATCCTTCCCCCGGAAGTGGAAAACTGGGTGCGGGAGTGTGGAGCGGAGACCAGTTCCCAGGCGGTGGCCCTTGCAGAAGGCTTTCTTCTCAGCCAGGCCGAGGAGAAGAGGCTGGAAGAGCTGCGGGTGGGAAAATGTCTTCTTGTTGGTTCAAAGAGAGGGATGTTCAAATCTGCAATGTTTTTGTTCCTAAATGACTCCTTTTGGGGGCTATGAAAGGAAGAGATTTCAGTTCTCTCTGAGCTCGGTTTTCTTCTTGCAGACATTTCATTACCCAAATTAGATAGCATCATCACTGCCAGGACTAGCACTGATGATGTTGGCCAGTTTGGGTGATAAAACATCTGCAAAAAGACAACTGAGCTCAGAGAGCAGAGAGCACCAAGGACCCCATAGTCCTTCTCCTCCTCCTCCTGCTCCTCCTCCACGACCTCCTCCACGACCTCCTCCTCCTCCTCCTCCTCCTCGCAACCCCCACTTCCCTTCTAGCACTCTAGAATAGAATGGAATGGAATGGAATGGAACGGAATGGAACAAAATGGGATAGGAATAGGAATAGGAATAGAATATAGAATAGAATAAGAATAGAATAGGAACAGAATAAGAATGGAATAGAGAATGGAATGGAACGGAACGGAACGGAATGGAACAAAATGGGATAGGAATAGAAATAGGAATAGAATATAGAATAGGAACAGAATAAGAATAGAATAGAGAATGGAATGGAATGGAATGGAATGGAATGGAATGGAATGGAATGGAATAGAATAGAATAGA